GCGTCTCGTCCCGCGTCGCCTGTTCGTGCTGCTCGCGCTAGTGGTCGCAGTTCGCGTCAGCGTCCTCCTCCTGTCCCTGGCACGCACCGGATGTCTTTACGTCCGTCCACTGCTCCTCTGCGTGCCCCTTTGCCTTCTCCTCCTGAGTCCTCTCTTCCTGCGCTTGCGGACCCTGAGTCGGACTCTCTTCGTGCTGCCAGTCCCACTGTCACGCGTCTGCTTGCTACTGTCGTCACTGACCCCTCTTTTGAGTCCACTGCTGCGTCTGCTCTAGTCGCTGAGCTCGTCGACTTTGCTGCTCGCTGTCGTCTCGACTACGCTGCTAGTCTTGTTGCTGAGTCTGCGTCTGTCTGTCCTCCGTCCGTCGGGGGTGAGTGTGCTCTTGGCACGGACGTCCTAGAGGACAGGCAGGAGGAGTTACAGTGTCTAGCGGCTGCTTCACCTCATCTCGCGTCTGTACTGCTTGCCCCTGAGGGAGACCCGGATGCACTAGACATCCCGACTCCGCGTTCTTACGTGGAGGCCGTAGAGGGTCCCTACTCCTCTCAGTGGCAGGCAGCTATGGATGCAGAGATGGCTTCCTGGAAGTCCACAGGCACCTACGTTGACGCGGTTCCCCCTCCTGGGGCGAACATCGTCAGTGGCATGTGGATCTTCAGGGTGAAGCGGCCGCCGGGCTCTCCACCTGTCTTCAAGGCACGGTACGTTGCTCGTGGCTTCAGTCAGCGGCAGGGAGTTGACTACTTTCAGACCTTCTCTCCCACCCCGAAGATGACTACTCTTCGGGTGCTGCTGCACATAGCCGCTCAGCGCGACTACGAGCTTCACTCTCTCGACTTCAGCACTGCGTTCTTGCAGGGTAGCCTGCACGAGGAGATCTGGCTTCGCCGTCCACCTGGCTTCACTGGGACTTTCCCTCCTGGCACCCAGTGGAGCCTCCGACGGCCAGTCTACGGTCTCCGCCAGGCACCGCGTGAGTGGCACGACACACTGAGGACTACGCTTGCGGCTCTTGGGTTTGCTCCTTCTACTGCTGACCCGTCGCTGTTTCTTCGCACCGACACTTCCCTGCCGCCGTTCTACATCCTCGTGTACGTCGACGACCTGGTCTTTGCCACAGCGGACACTGCTGGACTCGCCTACGTGAAGTCCGAGCTGTTGAAGAGACACACGTGCACAGACCTGGGTGAACTGCGCAGCTACCTTGGCTTGCAGATCACTCGGGACAGAGCACGCCGCACCATTACCTTGACTCAGTCACACATGGTGCAGCAGGTCCTTCAGCGCTTCGGCTTCACGTACTCCTCGCCTCAGGCCACTCCTCTGCCTACTCGCCACTCACTCTCAGCTCTGCCTTCGGATGAGTCCGTAGAGTCGAGTGGTCCGTATGCGGAGCTTGTTGGCTGCCTCATGTACCTGATGACCTGCACACGACCTGACCTTGCATACCCTCTGAGCATTCTTGCACGCTATGTTGCTCCTGGGAGACACAGACCGGAGCGCATGGCTGCAGCGAAGAGGGCATTGCGCTACCTGTGCAGTACGTCAGGCATGGGGTTAGTGCTTGGAGGGCGGAGTTCAGTGGTCCTTACCGGCCACGCGGACGCTTCTTGGGCTGACGACCAGGCTACGCAGCGGTCGTCACAGGGTTACACCTTCAGCCTTGGTTCCGGCTCTGTCTCGTGGCGGTCTACTCGCTCGTCTTCGGTTCTCGGCTCCAGTTGTGAGGCTGAGATCTACGCCGGGGCCATGGCTGCACAGGAGCTTCGCTGGCTCACCTACCTGCTGACTGACCTTGGAGAGCCGCCTCGTTCTCCTCCAGTGCTGTACGTAGACAACAAGGCTATGCTGGCCTTGTGTCGAGAGCAGCGCTTGGAGCACAGAACGAAGCACATTGCTCTCCGCTACTTCCTTGCTCGTGAGCTGCAGCAGCGTGGTCAGTTGCGACTTGCGTACGTGGCCTCTGAGGCCAACACTGCTGATGTGTTCACCAAGGCACTTGCGCCTTGTGACCATCAGCGCTTCTGCACCCAGCTGGGTCTTGTGCCTGTCTTGCCTCACTTGCTCTCCTCTTGACTTCACTTGTACTGTGACATATATATATACCTGCTCTTGCTTGTCTAGCTTTATATATATGTCTGTACTCTTGCTTGTGAACTGGCCTTTGGCCTTGCTCTTGTGCTCGGACTGTGTGGTGACTTTGTGATCCACCCTGAGCTTTGCTTTGTCTTGCTTGACTGGTCTTGTGACCCCTTGTTCTCCCCCACTTTGCCTATGGGGGTGTGTCAGAACATATCTATAGCTTATACTGCTGTGTAGGCTGTAGTGGGGTATCCCATAGGGGGTACAACCCAGTTAGGGTTTCATATTTGTACTGCTTTCATTCATAGTTCATTCATTCCTGTTTTCCTATTTTCACAGTTACCTGTGTTTCGTGCTGTGCAGGCTATAAGCAGATTCGTCAATATCAGGTTGACGTTAGGCATGTTACGTTGACTCTTATTCCTTGCATTCGAATCGAGTAGTAATTAATAATTTCGAGTGTTGCAACAGTGTCTATCGTTATTAAAATGAAACCTAAACCTGAACATAATCTCTGTCTTCATCAGAACCATGAAAAAATGTTATAAATAAAGCATGAATGAAATCAAGGAATTTCACCTGTCAAACATGCCGACATCTAGATTCGAATATACGACCGTTCGGTTTACAGACTTACGCATCCACTAGGTTAGTGCGAGCTGGAATTCGTAGACGGATTGTTTAAAGTTCGCGGCCCAAATTGTCAAAAGTTAGAAGAAGAAAGAGGAGTGAACTAGCAAGAATGAGGATACAAATAGCAAACCCTAGAAGGGTTGTACTCGCTATAGAGCACCCCACTACAGGCTAGAACAATAAGATAATATTCTGACACACCCCCATAGCCAAAGTGGGGTGTAATCAGCAGAGCAGGCAAAGCAAAAACAAGCTCAGGGTGGATCACAATGTCACCACACATTCTGAGCACAAGTTCAAGAAGAAATAGTTTAGAGTGTACAATTATAAGCAAAGCTAGTGGTAGTCACAACGGGCAAGTGAGGAGGAGGAGGGAGAGTGAGGGGAGAGGAGACAGGAGGCGACGGCTGCAGCTGCAGACACACGGGCAACAGGAGGCAGACTGGCACAGCGGCTACCGGACAGCGCCCGGACTACAGGAGTAACAGGCCCCGCGGCTCAAATAGCGGCGGACGGGCAACGGACCCACGGGCGGCTGGCACAGCTGGCTACGACTGGGCTACCGGGACAGCGCCCCGGACTACAGGTGCTGCTGACGACAGACTGGCAACCTCCGCTCATCCTCCCACACACAGTCCCACCCCCCTGATACACACCCACTGCTACACCACTAGCTCTACTCCCACGCACCCCCCTTAAACCCTAAACCCAGTCTCCCACACAACCACCCCCCTCAGCGACAGCTGCAGCAGTGGGAGACGAAGGAGGAGGAGGAGAAAGGGAGGAAGGCACACCGACCACCCCCATACCCGCCACCCCACAGCTCGCCGCGGCCCCCTCAGGTCGCCACGACGGACGACGGGAATTGGGGGGGAGGGGAGAAAAAAAGGGGGGGGGGGGGGGGGGGGGGGGGGGACGGGGCCGGGGCCGCGACGAGGGGCGGGGCCGCGACGGTCGGGGCGGGGCCGCGACATAGGGCGGGGCCGCAACGTAGGGCGGGGCCGCGACATAGGGCGGGGCCGCAACGTTGGGCGGGGCCGCGAAGGTAGGGCGGGGCCGAGCCGGGCAGGCGCACGGGCGGCGACGGGCCGGGGCGGGGCCGCGACGTAGAGCGGGGCCGAGCCGGGCAGGCGCACGGGCGGCGACGGGCCGGGGCAGGGCCGCGACGTAGAGCGGGGCCGAGCCGGGCAGGCGCACGGGCGGCGACGGGCCGGGGCGGGGCCGCGACGAAGGGCGGGGCCGAGCCGGGCAGGCGCACGGGCGGCGACGGGCCGGGGCGGGGCCGCGACGAAGAGGAGAAGCCCGCCGCGCGCCCCGGGGCGCACAGCGGGCAATGAACCGCCGCGCGCCTCGGGGCGCACGGCGGGCAGAAAACCGCCGCGCGCCTCGGGGCGCACGGCGGGATGAAAACCGCCGCGCGCCTCGGGGCGCACGGCGGGATGAAAAAGTAGCAGCGGAAGCAAGGTGGGGACACACCCACAGGATCGATCCAAGGGGATCGACCTGCTCTGATAGCATGTCAAAAGTTAGAAGAAGAAAGAGGAGTGAACTAGCAAGAATGAGGATACAAATAGCAAACCCTAGAAGGGTTGTACTCGCTATAGAGCACCCCACTACAGGCTAGAACAATAAGATAATATTCTGACACAAATTGCGGGCTGCGCTGGGCAACCTTAGTAAGGTTGATTGATAGTTGTTTTACAGGTGCTGGTTTTGCGAATTGAGGTTACGGGTTGTACGAAGGAAGTTGATTGGCTAGTCAATTTGAAACACTGAGCTGATTGGCTAGCAAAATTGAAACAATGTTTGCGGAGGGGGTAGGGTGGGAAACTGGCAAGGATAGTATTTGTGCAATATGGGACTCATGCAACCAAACGCGAAGTGGCCCCTGCGGTCTACTGAGTCAGCGAAATGTGTTTGAGATTGGCGAGAAGTTGGGCGAAACCAAAGCCCTCAACCCACCCAACACCTCGACTAGCCAACCCTGCTCCCTCACCTCCCAACATGCAACTTTAGTAAAGTTGTACAATTTGGGCCGCGAGCTTTAAGAACAAAAATTTCACTATTCCGGGACACATTTGGGATGGGACATTTTCTGGACACAGTGTTCACTGTTCCGAATGTCTCTTTCGGGCTCGAAGACAGATCTAGGTCGTTTTCGAGAGGCCTCAAAGTCTCTTGCGGGGAAGCCAATTTGGGGGGAATGATTTGGGACGTCAACTTTTTGGTGATGATTAACTATCGCTTTTCACCGTTTATTCCTTTTTCGATCATTCTACGCAGCAATGGCGGCCTGTGGACCAACGAAGAGTCTTCGCTTCATTTTCGTCCTCGCCCTAGCCTTCGTATGTCTGTCCTCTCTCCACGCGGCAGCTGCATCGGGCCGTCCTGGTGACCCCAAGATCGACACGAATGCGGCTCTTCAGCCCCCCCGCAGACTGGCGGAACGTTACGACATGGCGACTGCTGCAAATTCGGTGAACCTGGACAAGGCGCGCGGCTTGGAGGAGGAGGAGGAATTACCCTCCCACTTGGGGGAAGGGGCTGACGTGTCTGCAAAATCGGCGAACCCGGACAAGGCGCGCGGTGGCGCGGCGGAGGAGGAAGAGGGCTCCCATTGGGCAATTGGGGCTACCACGAAAGACCGCGCGGTAGTAACCCCGCGAGTAACAGTGCGGCTGATTGCGTGGCTGAACCCGTGGCTGGCTCAAAGTCAGGAGGAGGATATTTCAGCGGCTGGACGAAGGGACTCAGTAACAGCTTCTCGAACGCAGGGACCTCGTTCACGAATGGTGTCATAAACAGTATCGATGCCGCCCGAAAAAATGCCATCAGCGCCAGCAACAGCTTTGCGGAGGGTGTCCAAAATAGCGCCGCGGCCGCCAGAGACACGGCCGCTTACGTCGCAAACAACCCGGCTAAGACTTTGAAGAAATCCCTCTCGGACCCGGCGCAAACGGCGGCGGAGATTGCGCACGAAACGATAACCACGAACAGCCACGAGGCGCTGCTGAATGCGGGTGCGGGGTTCGCCGTTGGCGGAGTGGCTGGGGCACTGGTGGCGGGCGGCGGAACGTATGCGCACGGCGCACACGCCGCCGCGATGCGGAAGATGGGAAAGATTGGTTCAGGGGTCGCTGTAGTACCGCACCTGCCAGTGCTGGAGCACCCACAGCCGTAAGCAGCGACGTGGCATGGTGTGGTGTGGTGCGTGGTAGCGTGGGTTGTAATAGGTGGCGTTGTGTGGGGTGTAGTATGGTGTAGTGTGGTGTGGTGTGGTGTGTGCGTGACGTGGTGGAGTGGTGAGAAGTGGTGCCTGGCGTGGTAGAGTGGTCTGGTCTGGTGTGTGCCATGGTGGCGTGGTGTGATGCGATGCTTGGTATTGCATGGCCGGGGCGCGGCTGGGATTCGGAAAGGGGTGGTGTGAAGCCTGGGGTGTGGGAATGCAGCCATAGCGGAGCAGCTGGGGCAGAGTCTAACTGCTGCCGTGATGGTGCTAGATGCAATTGTTTGCTTTGTAGTGTGGCATTGGTGCTGGCGCCTGCTGGATGCTGTGCTTTCGGAAAAGAACCTGATCATTCAGAACGGAAGAAGTTGATCCGCAAGAGGCAGTGGCCCCATCTTTGCTAGTGCTTGGGATGACAAGTGGTTCTCCTGCCGGCTGAGGCATTAACCAGCCTTGTCTGCCTGTTGAGCTCGCTCTTGCTGAGCAGAAGCTGTTTTGTAAGAGGCAGTCTTGCCGGCTTGGGATGTCCAGATGGCTCTCCTGCCGGCTGAGCTGCATCATCCCGAACAGAAGCAGTAGATGTGCAAGCGACATCAGCGTTAGTATGCTGGGACATGTTGCACTGCCTGCTGACGCATGTACTAGTTTTTCCTTTGTAGCAACATAGCGTTGCTTGGGCTGGTGTATGCGCGTGTGAGAGAGATAGTAGGTGCATGCACTTGTGAGAGGGATTCATTCAGTGGAATTCCATAACCACGGTTTGTTTACCCGCTCGGTCCGCTCCCATCATGGTATGTTTACCCTCTCTGTCCGCTCGCATCACCTTGTCACATCCTCTATTGGATTCTGGGCCATTTTACACTCCTGTCCTTCTGAACACTCCTGCTTCGTGGCTTCTTCTGGGCCAGAAGTTCAGCCCCCTCCACACATGGTCCATAACTAAGACTTAGAGGCACGTTTGAGGTACAGAGAGGAAAGTTCAAAATTTAGAGAAGGAATGAGGTAGGACAGTTAACAAATGTGAGAACAAAGATAAGATCTATTGTTTTAAATTGTGGCTTACATATTGGCATGGCTGAGAGGGCAAAGGGGAGAGAGCTAATTATAGAGGGCGATACTTTTCATAAGAGTTTTATAGATGTCAGTCAAATCAATGATTCTGTTACAGAGCGCTTCACGTCGTTATCTGTTCGGCAATCATTGGCGATATGCAGCTTCTCTGCATCATGCGGCGAGAAGTGTGGTGGAATTGGAGGCGCGAAGTTGCGACCCCACCTCACCCCACCCCACCCACCAGCACAAAGTCCGTACCGAATCGCTCAATTATTGCTCCTACATTCGACTGCGGTGCGGGGTGGGCTGAAGCAGATGTGCTCCTTCCTCACCCAGTAAAAAAACCTCGTCGTCGCGATTTGAATGCAACTCATGGCAGATCTTCTGCTGCCATTGATGCGCGATACTTACGTATGTCAAACATATATATGTTATATGTTGCAGTTATTGGTAGGCTGTAGTGGGGTAGATTCTGTGGGGTATAACCCCTTAGGGTTTTCCTACTTGTAAAACTCTCTCGATAGTTGAACCAATCCTTCTCATTCTAACATGGCATCAGAAGCCTAGGTTAGGAACCTAGGACCATCTAGTACTAAGGGCCTACCCTTCAGCTACTGGCGCCCTAGAGCGCCCTCTCACCGCCCTCTCACCGCCCTCGTGCGCCTCTTTACTATCGCGCCCTCGTGCGCCTCGTTCTCTCACGCTGCCCGTGCGCAGCTCACTAGCCGCCCGCGCGCGGCCTCTCTTTTTCCTAGCGCGAGCAGCCCGCTAGCAGCCCGCGCGCGGCCCGAATCGCGCGCGCGACGACCGTAGGCCGCCAGCGCGGCTAGCACCACCCACGAGCAGGCCGCTAGCCGCGCGTCGACCCACCCGGCTGGCTTTCCAGCGCGACGCAGCCCCGCCCGTAGGCAGTCGCGTCGCCCCTCCCGTAAGTCGCCGCCCCTGCTTTCGTAGGCCGCCGTCCGCGCGCGACTGCAGCCCGAGCCCGACCGCTCGCACCTAGGACGGCGCACGACCCACCGCCGCCCGCCTGCAGGTCGCAGCCCGCCCGCAGTTACAATCGTGAGTAGGCTGCTGCAGCTCGCGTTTTGCTGCAGCACGAACCCAGCCGCGGCCTGTGCGCAGCTGCAGCTTAGGCGCCGCCGCCCACCGTGCTAGGCCCGCCGCCGCGCTGCCCTACGTGCCCGAGCCGCGCCGCCCAAGTCGCGCCGCCCGAGCCGCGCCCCCCGAGCCGCGCCGCCCTTACCAAACCGCGCCGGCCCACCTACAGCACCTGCTGTTCCTGTTCCTACTGTTCCAGCTATTCGTTTCACTACAGCCACTACTGCTATTGCTCTTACTGCTACTTCTGCTACTGCTACTGCTGCTGCCACTATGGCTACACCCACTGTTCTCTCTTTCGATGCTGAGGGCCGTCCGCTCCAGTTTGATGCTTGGCTCGACGATCGCCACCTCTTCCTCCAGATCACTGCTAAGGATGATGTCTCGCTATATGACCACGCGCCCGGAACCGCTCTAGCACCTGCTGACACTGCTGACAGTACAGCCCGCTCCCAGTGGCAGACTCGTGACGCCCACACTCGCCTAGCCATTCGCAGCCACATGCCGTTAGATGAGCGCGCACACTTCGGCCAGCACAAGACTGCTAAGGCACTGTACGATGCAGTCGTCGCTCGCTACTCCTCGCCTGCCTCTGCTACGATAGGCCGTCTCTCGCTGCCCTATCTTTTCCCCGATCTCGCCGCCTTTCCCGCAGTCGCTGACCTCATTACCCACCTCCACACCAGTGACACTCGCTTCCGCGCCGCCCTTCCTGCTGAGTTCCTCGCCAAGAACCCCCCCCTGATGTACCTCGTTCTCTACCACCTAGTTGCCCGCCTCCCTTACTCCCTTCGCGTAGTCAGGGACCACTTTTTCTCCCTCTGCCCCACCGAGCTCACCATTGACCTCCTCAAGAAGCATCTGCTTGCAGCTGAGTCTAGCATCAATGCTGTGGGTGCCTCTCGTGGCGACCCCCGCACGCCCCTCTTTGACGGGTGTTCCCCTCCCCCCCTTCTCCCCTCGGTTGCCTCTGCTGCCGCTGTCGACTTCTTTGGTGCTGAGGAAGTCGGGGCTACGTCTGCTCCTAGCTGGAGGCGCAAGGGCGGCAAGGGCAAGGGGGGCAAGGGTGGTGGTGGTGCCAGCGGGGGAGGTGGAGGTGGGGGCGGTGGGGGTGGTGGGGGTGGTGGCGGTGGTGGGGGTGGTGGCGGGGCTGGGGGGGTCGGTGGCAGCGGCGGGGGTGGTGGCGGTAGTGGTGGTGGAGGAGGCCAGGGTGGAGGCGGTGGTGGTGGCGGCGGTGGGCGTGGTGGCGGCGGTACGGGTGGTGGTCGGGGTGGACCAGCGTAGCGTGGAGGTTCGGGTGGTGTCCAGCGCCAGCAGCAGCGTCTCAGAGAGACCCCGTCGTCCCAGCAACTTCGTGAGTGGTACTCTCAGCATGGGGGGTCTGGGGGAGGGGGTACCTGCACGTATGTCATCCGCACAGGTGACTGCGCTGGTCAGACGTGTGGGAGGTTCCACACGCCGCAGCGCTACTTCTTCCGTCTCGACGTCGCCTGGCGTGCACAGTTCCCTGAGGCCTCTGAGCTGCCCCGCTGGGCTGATCTGCTTAAAAAGAACATTGATGTCTTTGCACTTGACTTTGATGTTATCCTAGGAGCCATGTATGCATTGACTATTAGTGTTGAGGGTGACTGTTACTTGTGTGTACCACCAGACCCAGGCATTGCGACCAGTGAGGCTGCCGCTCTAGGTGCTAGTGCGTATGCTGCCCCAGGTCCTGGTGAGGCTGCTACTCTAGGTGCAGGTGTGTCTGCTGCTTCAGGTGCTTGTGAGTCTGCGCCTTCAGGTACTTAGTCTACTGAGGCACTGCACACCTTCAAACTGGACTCAGGTGCTTCTCGCTGTTTCTTTCGCGACCGCACTGCCCTCAAGCAGCTCCCTAGGCCGGTTGCTGTCTCCCTGGCTGACCCCTCAGGGGGTCCGGTCCTTGCGACCTCCACCACTGCCCTCCCTTGTCCTGTTGTCCCGTCCGGCACACTGTCGGGCCTTTACCTCCCCTCGTTCTCTACAAACTTGGTGGCGGGTTCTGCACTCCAGGACGCGAGTGTTCACCAGTTCACCCCTGCCTACAAGCGTGTGACACATTGCACGTGTGCCCAGACGGGTCGTCACCTGGCTACCTTCACTAGGCAGCCGGGGTCGGACTTGTACACACTGACCACTGAGTCCCCTCAGGTAGCGGCGTCGGCGTCTGCGTCAGCTCAGTTGTCCGCCCCCTGCTCGTGTCGCACCCTGTCGCACCGGACGGTCATCTGGCACCACCGCCTTGGGCACCCTTCGATGCAGCGCCTTCATGGCATGCACTCCCGTTACCTTGTCTCTGGTCTCCCCAGGTCACTGCCTCCCTTGCCACCGTCCCCTGCCCTCCCTGCCTTCCCTGTGTTGAGGGGCGGCAGCGTGCCACCCCTCACTCCTCTGAGTTTCCCCCGACGGAGGCCCCTATGCAGACCCTTCACATCGACGTGTGGGGCCCAGCCCGCGTCCGTGGACAGGGAGGAGAGCGCTACTTCCTGCTGGTAGTTGACAACTACACGCGTTACACCACGGTCTTCCCCTTGCCCACCAAGGGAGAGCTCCCTGCTGTTTTGATCCCTTGGATCCGCGCTACCCGTCTCCAGCTGGAGAAGCGCTTTCGCAGTGACCTTCCCATCCTGCGACCGCACTCTGACTAAGGTGGTGAGTTTTCCTCCGGTCTCTTGGAGACCTTCTATCAGGGGGAGGGCATTCGCCAGACGCTCACGCTTCCGGCCTCTCCTCAGTAGAATGGGGTTGCTGCGAGCCACATTGGCTTGGTCATGGAGGTC